CATCCATCCACCCATCCATCCATCCATCCATCCATCCATCCATCCATCCATCATCCATCCATCATCCATCATCCATCCATCCATCCATCCATCCATCCATCATCCATCCATCATTCATCCATCCATCATCCATCCATCATCCATCATCCATCCATCCATCCATCCATCCATCCATCCATCCATCATCCATCCATCATCCATCCATCCATCCCTATCCACGGATTTGTCCCTAACCCACACCACCCCTGGGAATTGCACATTCCCAAATTTCCCTTTTGGGACAAAAGCTCCTCCTTTGACTTCTCCAATCCCCCAATCCCATCCCCACCTTTCCCATCTTTCCAGACCCCAAACCCACAATTTTTAGGGAAAAATCCATCCCCACATTTCTCATCTTTCCACCCCGCTCCGGACATTCCCGGCTCCTCACCGGCGGTGATGGTGTCCAGCATCTTCTTCCACACGTTGTACTGGAGCGATCCCAGATACTTGGCCACGTCCAGGAGCATTCCCGAGGGAACGGCGTCCGGCTCCTCGGCCGTGCAGGCGATCCTAGGGCAGACCATGGAGGAAGGATTGGGATAACGCTCCCGACATCCCGTGGTTCAGCATCTCCCTCGATTCCCGCAAAATCTGGGATTTAATGCTTCCCACAAACCCTGACATTCCGCTTTGTGTCCCTTCCATCCAGCCTGGACCACCCAGGTGACATCCTGGATTCGGAGGGGACACCGGAATTTTCTCGGAGCAGGGACAGCAGGAAACGCCATCCGGCCAGCAGGAAGCCATTCCCAAATTCCCATGGATTTAACGGAACCAGGACCTACCTCCGCTTGCGGTTCTTGTGGGTCTGGAAAAGAAAAGAGGGAGACACCGGGAATGAGATCCCGGCTGCCACCGGAATTCCGGCGGCCGACGGATCACGCAGGGGAGGCGGGATCCGGGCCGGGAGCGGGATCCCGGTGGGAATTACCATCAGGAACGTGACGTCGTCCTGCTTGAGATCCGCCTGGAGATGGGTGGCCTCGTTGAGCAGGGCCTGGCTGGCCTCCGCCAGCTGCCCCATTTTTCCATGGATCAGGTCCTGCTTCTGCCCCGTCTCCTCCCGGATCTGCGCCAGCAACGCCTGCTCCTCGTCCCACAGGAACTTGTGCAGCTTCTCGAATTCCCACTTCACCTGCCGCTCCAGGCGCTCCGATTCCACCTGGGAATGCCGGCACCTTGCTCCAGGCGGGAATGCCGGCGGCACCCGAATTCCCCGGAGTCCCCGTCCAGGCAGCTCCAGGGCTCGGGGATTCAATGGGATCACGCTGCTCTTCCCAAGTTCCCATCCCCAATTCCCAAATTCCCAATGCTCTTCTTTCCCGGGATAGGATCAGTGCTCCACCCCCGGCTGCATGTGCAGGATTGGGATTGGGATCAACCCCACCTCTGGAGCACCCAAATTCCCAGGGTTCCCCTTTCCCAGAGATCAGGAATTCAATGGGATCACGCTGCCCTTCCCAAATTCCCATCCCCACTTCCCAAATACCCACAACCCTCCTTTTCCGTCATAGGATCAGGGTTTCCCTCCAGTTGCATTCCCAATCAGGATCAGGACCGATCCCACCTCTGGAGCACCAAAATTCCCTGGATTCCCCTTTCCCAGTGCTCAGGAATTCAATGGGATCATGCTGCACTTCCCAAATTCCCATCCCCACTTCCCAAATCCCCATTGCTCTCATTTCCCGGGATGGGATCAGGGCTGTGCTCCAGCTGCATGTGCAAGATTGGAAATTGGGATCAGGACCAATCCCACCTCTGGAGCGCCCAGATTCCCTGGATTCCCCTTTTCCAAACTTCAGGGACTCACTGGGATCACGCTGCCCTTCCCAAATTCCCATCCCCAATTCCCAAATACCTACAACCCTCCTTTTCCATGGTAGGATCAGGATTTCACTCCAGCTGAATTCCCAGTCAGGATCAGGATCAATCCCACCTCTGGAGTGCCCAAATTCCCTGGATTTCCCCTTCCCAGAGCTCAGGGATTTCCCTGGGATCACTGGGATCACGCTGCCCTTTCCAAATTCCCATCCTCACTTCCCAAATCCCCACTTTCTCTCCTTTCCCAGATGGGATCAGCACTCCACCCCTGGCTGCAAGTGTAGGATTGGAATTGGGATCAATCCCACCTCTGGAGCAGCCAAATTCCCTGGATTCCCCTTTCCCAGTCCTCAGGAATTCCCTGGGATCACGCTGCCCTTCCCAAATTCCCATCCCCTCTTCCCAAATCCCCACCGCTCTCCTTTTCCAGGATAGGATCAGGGCTTCACTCCAGCTGCATTCCCAATCAGGATCAGGATCAATCCCACCTCTGGAGCAGCCGAATTCCCTGGATTCCCCCTTCCCAGAGCTGAGGGATTCCCTAGGATCACTGGGATCATACTGCTCTTCCTAAATTCCCATCCCCAATTCCCAAATCCCCATCGCTCTTCTTTTCTGGGATGGGATCAGAGCTCCACCCCCGTGCACATGCATGATCGGGATCAGGATTGGGATCGGGATTGGGATCGGGATCGGGATTGGGATCGGGATCGATCCCAGCTCCGGGCAGGAACACGCACCTCGTTGTGCCGGGAGATGGATTCGTAGGATCTGCGCATGGTCCCAAAATCCTTGGCCTTATCCCGCAGGGAAGATTCCATGTTCGCCAGCTTGGCCTGCGGGGAGGAGACACCCTCAGGACTCCCCCATTCCCGGGATTTTCCAGGATTTTTACGGGATAAACACTCCCGGAGCCGGATCCTTGCTCCATCCAACCCTTCCCCTCGGGCAGCCGGGAGGAAGAGGAGCTTTGCTCCACAGGGAATCCTCCTTCCTGCTTTTTAGGGATATCCCAAAAAATATCTGTCTGTCCTGGTGCTGTGAGCAGCCGCATTCCCATTCCCATTCCCATCCCCATTCCCATTCCCATTCCCTTTCCTATTCCCATTCCCATTCCCATTCCCATTCCCATTCCCATCCCCATTCCCATCCCCATTCCC